GCAGCCATTATTAACTGGAGGAACCCTACCCTCAAAAGTTGCCCCACCTATCTGGGCCGATATTTTACTGGTCCTTTCCTCAAACACACACACATGAACGCCGTTCTTCTTCTGCATGACACTGAGTTTGCCACCTCTCTCGTTTACTTGTTCTCTCGCCCTTTACCCCTTTCTTCTCGCCAGCGCAACACTATCTCCCAAACACCCAAACAAACAACAAGCCAACCTATAACTGCCTCACCCTCGCACGTTTGGTTGTTCTGTACACTTGGTCGCAATAGGCAGCTTGCTGTTCATACTCATGCTGTGTTGTTCCGGACCGGCATCGACGCTCAGGTCGTATGTTGCTAGTAGTGGGTGGAGTCTGAAAAAGGACCCCGCCACCACACTCCTCAGCTCCATTTCCGCGCACTTCGCCAGCCACAAAGTGACACACCTCCACAGATTCCAGGAGTTTATCTTGCAGGTGAGCGTTCAACGTGTCTTTGACATGTTGTTATTTCATGTAAAAAGCCTTCAGCCTTGCGGTTCACTGCCGATATCGGCTAACCGGCTCATCACGTTGAACGTGTGAGTGCTGTAAGGCTATGGCACAAAATGCCATTGAGCTGAGAAGGCAAAGGAGGCCCCGGTAGCGTAATGGATAACGCAACCGCCCGGTAAGCGGGAGATGCGGGTTCAAGTCCCGTCCCGGGTCCGACTTTTGCCAATATCTCAGCATTCTTGTGATAACTTACGGAGCGCGCACTGCGGCGTTAAACAGCAGTTACAAAAAACTAAAAAACAGCTTTATAGAATGTTGCTATTTTTTCTGATATTTTTCGATTAGTGCCACGACAAGATGGGCTCACCAGTGAATTGCTCTGAAATTCTCTTGAAGAGTTCCTGAATAGCGGTCGAGTTACCGATGAAAGTCGCAGACATTTTCAAACCGCGTGGAGGTATATCACAAACGGCAGTCTGAAAATAGCTCGGTTTCTAAGCGGTCGCATAATTCCTTTAAAGGCTCTTGGACCTCGACCTACTCTGTGTGAAGAAACAGTAGCGATATCAAATACGTAAAAGTCAAAAGCCAATTTGACAAGTTTAACATTGACAATGGAAACTGCGTAAATTGTAATGTTCGAGGTTTCTGTGGTGTCAGGAGCGCTAAAATATTCACCTTTACGTTATTCGGAATCCAATCGACGAAATACGAAGAGTTTTTATTCTGGATGTTCAGCATCTGCTCGTCGACTTCCTAAACAGTTGTTCACTATTTGAGATATTCTCGGCATTTCGTTTTTGATGAGAAACAGGAGTGACGTGGAGGTGGTGTACTGTTGAAGGGCCAGGGCCCACTCCAGTGGTCAGATTTCGAGTGGGCTCATGGGAACAGGTGGGTGCCACATTTCAAAACAAACTGATCAAACACGGGAGCTCTATCCTTTTTGTCCTTCTATGAAATAGGATTGTAAATTTTCATAGGATGCTTCAACACTACATGCTCTTCTGAACATACATTTTTCCAGAATCAGATCAAACTGCAAACTCTTGTCCTTATTTGTCCCCTGGGATGAATTTGGCAAGAAAAATATTTTCAAGATAGTTTGGCCACCTGTGGGAGAGTCAGAGAAGTTGGGTGGAAAAATGTCTCCCCTAAGTCAAGTGGACCTGGAAATCGACTTGATAGAACAAAAATTTGGACAGTTTTTTGGACGATTTACAGAAGAAGGGTCCGTTGCTTTCCCTCCATAAAACCAACTGTGATTTAGTCTCTTGACGGTTGACTTCTTGATGAAATAGAAACCAGACCTTCATGCTCATTCGGCCACGGAAAATGGCAGCCGCTGTTAAATATCTACCATGACGTGGATCACATGCTGCCATCATATTCTTCGCATCGAAACACTGCTGTGTCAATTCGGAAACCGATACGGCGCGATACTGTAAATTTACTATTAATACTTCGATAAATAACGCTGAAATGTACTTGAGATTGAACCTGTGACCACAAATTCTAGAATGCAAAAGTCAGTCACTGAATGAAAAATCCACAAGAGGGTCTGACAGGGCGTCAATATTTCACTCATTTTTGTTGCTACATCTCGGAATCAAATTCAGAATTGGGCTGCGTTCAGACTACGAGATCATGCGCGTCCACGCAGCCATAGACAGATATCGACCGGCGCTGCCATCTAGTATTTGTGGAGAGCATAGGAGAATAGCAGGGTACCAGACAATGTGATTGTTATAAGGTGATTGTAATATGACTATTTTGCCATTATATAACACCTGATCACCCAGTCTAGTGCCCTCCTATTCTCCTATACTCTCCCAAAACACTAGTGGCCGGAGCCGATCGATATCCGTCTATAGCTGCACTCCCGTCTACAGTTGTGTTTCCTTCTATGGCTGCTTTGACGCGCGCCATGCGAAGTCAACACAGCTCTGTAAACTACTCAGCGAAGATCGTATGACAAGACTGGTTGCATGGTCCCATTGTTGAAGACACATGCTACGCTTAAACACGTTGAGGGTGTGTGACACTATCAGGCCCCACCTGTCGA